CAACTTAAAACATACATGTACATTATTTTAAAAAGTCAGCAAGCAAGCCACACACGCGCAAATCAAGTTTCATAAAACTTCTCTTCAAAGAGTGGACAGGTGATCGAGTACGCTCTCTTGAACTAACAATTCGAAGAACATTGATGCATCCCCTCAAATAGTCGATTACATTGTCAAGGCCAGACAACAGTTATCGAATAATCAACTATAAATACATTTTCATAAAATCCTTCAGAGCTCGAAAGCTTGTCACTTATGATTCTTCCGTGTGACTAGTTTTCAACTACTCCCATCCCAACTATATAAATAATTGATTACGTACCAATTTCCATCAAGGCATTTTTTTATACTATACTAAATTCTTTTTCTATTCTTTCTACCAAGCATACTTGATTCCAACCACCATCTTCTCATGCTCATGCATGAGAATGATCGACTACATGTGCTGATTCTTACAACATCAGCATAAAACCGACACAATAATCTCTATAGCATTAATGACTTCAACCTGAAAAAATAACCTCACCACAGCAGTGGAATATTTTCCCTTCTCTCACCTGAAACAATAAAAACTGTAATATTATATGAATGGACAACAATAATAAACGATATCTTAACACAATAATAATATACTGTACTTAATTTCAGCCCTTTCACCTGTTATTTCCTCATCAGTCATCATGATCAGCGACTAATCCACTGAACTATTGAATTGGCAGTTCCAGTCATAAAACAAACCCTTAATAATCGAGCAATGGATTTTATTAATAGTGTTGGACAAATGTTACACATACTGATTGGACAGACAATAAGGGAAGGGGTTCAAGTCAAATTCATACTCAGCAAATGTATTTAAGGGGTGCAATTTTCAATACTCATCACTCGTGATAGTTTTACTCTTGATAGTTTTACTCTTGATAGTTTTACTCTTGATAGTTTTTCTCTTAGTAGTATTCTCGTGATATTACTCTCTTGAAGTGTCTCTCTTGATATCTCTCTTTTAGTAATACTCTCTCAATATAGTATACCCTTGAAACATTACAGTTAAGTTTGGTCCATTTAACGCTATTACGGGAACGTCTTACACTTCTGCGGATTGTCCATTAACACTGTTACTGAAACAGTAGTTACAAGCCCCGGAAGAACGACGACATAAACCCGTATGTCCACTAATGCAGTTCAAGAAACCGTCGTTACATGTTCAAAGGGAGCGACGACAATCCGCATATCAGAGTCCGGAGACGAGCCAACGATTAGTCTTCGTAAGTAGTATTTACTACAATAATTACATATATATATTGAGATTCAGAGTATAACATCGACAAGCACTAAGGACAAGGAAGCTCCTCTTAAAACGACAGTGCGGAATAAATTCCAGTACGCGTCGTCAAGTTCGCGCCCACAAAAAGGAGCGTCTCTTTTTACAACCCTCACCTTAGTTCAAATTCGCAAGCTTATGAAATTAAGCAACACACAGCGCGAGTGTCGGAAAATCCTGTTTCGCGCCACTCTGCGGTATCTTTCAGTCATAACGCTGCATTCATAACCTCAACCACACACATGCTCATTCAAACAGCGCTAATGTCGACGAACGAAACTTCGCGCCATTCG